AGAGGCTTTTAGGGACCAAACCATTCACCGACACAACTACCGGGATTATTTCTGTAGATACCACCCTCCACATGTCGGTTTTATTATTATTTATTATTATTATTATTTATTATATAACTATGTATGCTAGTCTCTGGTACCCATAACACAGGGAGTCTTAATTTGGGGCAGGGGTGACCGTGCGTTATTTGTTCCCATTTATTTATTACGAGCCGTGGCATAATTCAAACTAATTTTATACTACGTTTAATCTCGACTTTTTTATTGTAATGATATTACATGTCGGCGCAACGTCACTATTTAGTTAACTAAAAATAATTAAAGTTGTATGTCAACAACTGCAAATTATAAACACACTAGCGACCCGCCCTCGCTTCGCTTCGGAAACATAAAAACACAAATGAAACCAAAAAAATAAAATAAAAAAAGTAGCCTATGTTCATCAGGGACAATGTCGGCTTCTAATGGAAAAAGAATTTTTCAAATCGGTCCAGTAGTTTCGGAGCCTATTCGAAACAAAAAAACAAACAAATCTTTCCTCTTTATAATATTAGTATAGATAGCGGCTCGCTCCGGCTCCGCTCGGGTCTTTAACAAAAATTTCAACGATATTTGACGTTGTTTTATTTTTTTAAATAAAAGAACACTTATTGCGGCATAACTACAATAGTTAGACATATGCTGTCGCGATACTTTTTGTAAATAATAATGTGTTCTACAAAGTCGTAGTACATTATTTTATTCCATCATCAATAGTATTCTCAGGGCACGCGATGTATGGAATATTTTAGGTAATTTTTTTACACCTTGGGTTACATTATTGGAGTTTTAGTAAAGATCCCTATTTTTTTCAAAAAATATAGCCTGTGTTGCTCGCGAACAGTGTAGCTTCCAAACAGTGAAATAATTTTTCAAATCGGTTCAGTAGTTTCGGAGCCTATTCAATACAAACAAACAAACAAATCTTTCCTCTTTATAATATGAGTATAGATTATTATGGTCTTGAAAATGTCGTTAGCGTAATCTAAGCTTTTACTGAATTTCCACTATTCTGTGATAATTGTTTGAGACGATCCCCTCATCTCCTTTTTATCATCGCACCTCCCGCCATCGGAGCAGAGTTCATCCATTTTATCTGGAACCGCTGCGTTTATCGATAGTACGTTTCCAGACGTCTTTTTTGCCACGTACCATCCGGCTATGGAATGAGCTCCATTCCATATGATATGTCCATTATATGTCCTTCTTAAAACGAGGCTTGTGGAGAGCACTCAACGGTAGGCAGGGGCTTGGCTCTGTCCCTGACATTGCTGAAGTCCATGGGCGATGGTAACCACTCACCATCAGTGCCGTATGTTCTTCCGTTATATATACTAAGTCATGTATACTAAGGTGTGACAGGAGTTGAACAATAAAGACTTTGACTTTGAATTTTGATCTCAAGCTGAGCGATAGTAATGGTGTGATCAAAATATCGGTCGGTTATCGCATATCTCCAAGTAAGCCGCGACTTTGTATCTCTTCGATCTTATTCAATGAAAACAAAGTCAAGCTATAATTAACCTACATTACCTACACAGCAATGTCAAGTAATATTTGAAGCACTGATTGGTTATCAGGACTTCAATTATTTTTATTTGTGTTAATTACTTAGTAATTGTAACTGTGCGTGGCCATGTAAAATTCCTGTTTTTTTGCCAACGTAACTGCTATTAGGTGCGAGGGGGTATTTTGGTCCTATCCTAACTGGTGGGTGAGATTTTTTTTTTTAAATTTCCCTGTAGGCAGACCGGCATACGGCCCACCTGATGGTGAGTGGTTACCGTCGCCCATGGACTTCAGCAATGCCAGGGGCAGAGCCAAGCCGCTGCCTACCGCCTAATACTCTCCACAAGCCTCTTTTAAAGAAGGATATGTCATAGCGCTCAGGAAACACCGTGGTGGGGAGCTCATTCCATAGCCGGATGGTACGTGGCAAAAAAGACCTCTGGAAACGCACTGTCGATGACCGCAGTGGCTCCAGGTAGTATGGATGAACTCTACTCCGGTGGCGGGCGGTGCGATGGTAAAAAAGAGATGCTGGTATCATCTCGAACAATTCCTCAGAGCACCCCCCATGGAACATACGGTACAAAATACAGAGGGAACTGAAGTCCCTCCGCAGACCCAAAGGTTCCAAACGATCCGTGAGAATGGGATTATCGACGACTCGAACGGCCCTCCTCTGTATGGAGTCAAATGGAAGAAGCTGGTATTTGGGAGCCCCAGTCCAGAGATGGGAGCAGTACTCCACGCGAGGCCGGACTTGTGCTTTATAAAGCAAAAGTCTTTGTCCAGGCGTGAAATACCGCTTCGCTTTGTTGAGGACTCCCAGCATTTTGGACGCCAACTTGGCTTTGCCTTCCAAATGACTCCGAAATTGGACATCACTCGAAATGTCGACCCCAAGTATCCTGAATTCACGGGCTCATTCTGATAGAACTTGCTAAGATTAGACTTGATAAGAGCAATACTTCGCTGAATCTATCACGGAATCGCGACCCACTGAGAGAATCCGGGGATAAACTCAGCTGGTTCGGTCTATAGCTTACGTTGCACATCAATCTTCGATAACATAAGCATGTCGGTGACGCGAACTTGTAAGGTTTCCTCTAACAAAAAGTGCTCAAAATTTTTCATTAAAAAATAGCCAATGCCAGTTATAACAGCGAAGTAATGATTTTTCCAATCTATTTTATAATTCCCGTTCAAGTCTCCCAGCATTTAAATTTCGGATAACCGAAAATAAAATATCCGAAACGACGCACAGCAAAATTTACAGCAAAAAAGAAAATAAAACAAGTCTGTTTGTTTGGCCACATTAAATGTTTTCCGCTTTCCCTAAATTCGTTGCGGGAGAAACCGCGATTAACTAAATAAATATCTAAATTGGTGTTTACGATTAAAACATCTTTCAAATTCGTCTGCGGTTAGATGCTATCAAAAGTGTTTTATGTTTCCGTTTGTATTTGCAATCGGTTTGTTTTAGACAAACTAGGCATCAGCCTAGGTGCCACAATATTCCCAATCTTGCGGACAGAACGAAAGCAGTCGACGTCGCCCAAAACACGTCATTTCGGATCTTCCCGATCCACTAACGGTGTTTCTAGGTACCTCAAGCACCGGTCATTGTTCTCGACCGGGTTCGACGAGTAAATTAACCCACAGACACAGCCACTTAGTTCCTTGCCGGATCTTCGCAGTGGGTCGCGCTCCCGATCCGATGGTAGATTCTGCGAAGCACGGCTCTTGCTACGGTTTGTGTTAGCAACGTCATTAGTTTTGAGCCCCGTGAGCTCACCTACTAGTTAAGGTTAGGCTGAAATAGCATCTCAAGGCTATCAGCTTATGTAGGAAAAAAGGGTGAATTCTTTTTGGGCACATTTTTGTTAAAAGAAGTTAGGGCATCAGAAGGCTTAGGTCTTCTTCAAGGGCAAAGATAATTTCAGTGTCAAACTGATGTTTCCAACTAGGGCTCTTTTGAAACTTCTTTTAAATAGCATACAGCGGAGTTCCGGGCTCTTATATTGTTTGGCTAAAATACTCCCTGGAAAGGCAGTCTATCTCAAAGCACTGGTTCCAGGTTACTACGATGTAATCCTTTTCGTCCTTGCGTCGTATACCTCAATGCTGAGGGTCGTGACGTCTCGCACGATCTTCCTCCGTCTGTTTTTGTCTCTGGTGGTATGGAGGTCGTTGTGAAATTTGGAATTAAGAGCGTTGCGGATCTGGTCGGACCAACGTATTGGACTGCGTCCTTGGAGGCTTTTTTCCATCCTCTTTACTGGTACGATGAGCCTCTCGAGGTGTTTTAATATAATGTTAAGTTAATTGTGCAATGTTAAGGTTACAATCCGCGAAATTTGGAATACTAGAATATGTCAGCGGTTTTTTTTTTTTGTTTTTGTCAGGAGGAAATCACCGGACTTCCGCCCTCCACTGGGGATGGAGGGCGGGGCATGTCGGAGTTGAACCGACTAAAACCTCCTGTCGCTCAACGACCAGCATTCAAACCTCGCATGAGACAGAACTCATGAAAAGGCAAAGGGGGAAGTGAAGCGTTTAGTGCGGAGCACATCTCTCCTATCACCCTCCCCCTAAAAATGTCTTAATTGTTTAGGGGACTGGAATGGTCCATGTTTTTTATTGCATAGACGGGTGAACGAGCTCACGGTGCGTGTATAGTTAAGTGGTCGCCGCATAATGTGATTGCCGCCACCCCCCCCTTAAATGTAAAGGCCCCTGATCGGTTATTGATTCCGTAAATTCCTAAGTTTGATTTTCTTGGTTTGTAATGATAATCTAAAGCAAATCGACATAATTGAAAAGGTCGTCGCAGCCTTAGGGATAAGACACCCGATGTACTACTAAGAAGCGATGCGACTACGCCCGTTTTCAAGTTCTACGAGCAAGCACCAATTTTCCTAATGAAATACGCCCTTATCTAACATTAAGACTAGCTTGCGTGATAAAAGAAAAACATTTCCATAATTGCAATATTGCTATTTACTCACTCATCTCAAATCTTACTTAACTGGTGGTAGGACGTTTTGTGAGTCCGGACGGGTAGGTACCACCACCCTGCCTATTTCTGCCGTGAAGCAGTAATACATTTTGGTTTGAAGGGTGGGGCAGCCGTTGTATTGTAAAAACTGAGACCTTACAACTTATATCTCAAGGTGGGTGGCCGCATTTACACTGTAGACGCCTATGGACTCCGGTAACCACTTAACACCAGGTGGACCATGAGCTCGTCCACCCATCTAAGCAATAAAAAAAGATAGACATATAAAATTATTTTGCAGCTTATCGACAGCATTAGTTCAGAGAAGGAGGTTACGTATATGGCTTTTGACTGCTATCATCAATCTTTTCCCTTACAAAAACTAAACCTTCCGGCTTTATAGTACAAAGACTTGAACGACCAGTCATCCGACGCTCACACAGCATAAGGACTATACCTGTTTCTTGAACGGCGTGATCCATTGATTTTTCTTCATCGTTGTAAATAATACAAACACACACACACACACACACTCGATTATTGAACACGCGCTATCTTGAAAACGATCGCTACGGCTTATCGCCAGCCCAGCGCCGACACAAATGTCGATTTATTCCTTGATCTTATGAAAATGTTAAGAAATCGTGAAGCACTTCAGTCTGGTGCGTTCGATGAACACGTTCCGGCGACAGTTCATTTAGATTGCGGTGCGTAAACTTCACGGCGACTCGATTTGGAGATGTTAGGAATGCAGTTAAGCGGGACCCAGTCTCTTCAAATTCGTCTGCGGGTAGATGCTATCAAAAGTGTTTTATGTTTCCGTTTGTGTTTGTAATCGGTCTGTTTTAGACAAACTAGGCATCAGCCTAGGTGCCACAATATTCCCAATCTTGCGGACAAAATGGAAAGTGGTCGCCCAAAACACGACATTTCCGATCCTCCCGATACACTAACGGTGCTTCTAGGTACCTCAAGCATCGGTCATCGTTTTCGTCGAACCCGTAGCGATTTTGAACGCGTTAACGAACTCGATGCTTGATAACCCTAATTGTTGGCTTTCTACATGTTTTTAGATAATTATGTAACGTGACTTTTTATTCTGTGCCAGTAAATTTGGTCAACTCCCTGAGCGCTTAGATCCTCTCCTAGGATGACAACTGATGACGGAATCATTTCCGAGTGACTAAACTAAGAACTTTCGCAAATATAGTACTCAACAGGACTTTTACTGGTGGCAGGACCTCTTGTGAGTCCGCGCGGATAGGTACAACTACCCTGCCTATTTCTGCAGTGTAGCAGTAATGCGTTTCAGTTTGAAGGGTGGGGCAGCCGTTGTAACTATACTGAGACTTTAGAACTTATATCTCAAGGTGGGTGGTGCATTTACGTTGTAGATGTCTATGGGCTCTTGTAACCACTTAATACCAAGTGGGCTGTAAGCTCATTCACCCATCTAAGCAATAAAAAAAACCCAGATCCAATACCACCCCCCGTCTCCCATAAAACCAGCATACAAATGCCCTCACAAGATGAGGAGAACGACAGAGTGGCCTTCGCCCCTTATTCAATGGTTTTACCTTATTAGAGTACAGTTGTATTCAAGGCACTAAATCCGATGTTAAACAAGTCCTATGGAATAATGGAATCAACCACAGGAAAACGTTCACATGTTTTTTAAATGTTTCCAGATACAAGGCCAACGTATGAATACAGTGATTCATGCAGGGTAAACTGATGCGGACGTAAAATTGCATATAAACGAGGTCAGAATCAACAAGGTACATTATCGGCAAGGCTGTAGGAGTATACTGTGCAATCTATTTCAATAAGGTCTCCATTTGACATGCCTTGCTATAACCTTTCATTGCTGACACTTTCCGTCTGGACAATCTTAAAACAGAGATGATAATTAAGATTCTGGAAACACGTAGGTGCGTAATTGATTGGAGACCCGAAGTTTGAACCGCTGACAACTGGTACCCAAATATTAACGAAATGAAATAATGATTTTCTAACTTGAAGTCGTCGTGGCCTAACGGATAGGACGTCCGGTGCATTCGTGTTGAGCGATGCACCGATGTTCGAATCTCAGGCGGGTACCAATTTTTCTAATGAAATACGTACTCAACAAATGTCCACGATTGACTTCCACGGTGAAGGAATAACATCGTGTAATAAAAATGAAACCCGCAAAATTATAATTTGCGTAATTACTGGTGGTAGGACCTCTTGTGAGTCCGCGCGGGTGGGTACCACCGGTCTGCCTATTTCTGCCGTGAAGCAGTAATGCGTTTCGGTTTGAAGGGTGGGGGCAGCCGTTGTAACTATACTGAGACCTTAGAACTTATATCTCAAGGTGGGTGGCACATTTACGTTGTGGATGTCTATGGGCTCCAAAAAAACAAAAAAAAAACAATAAGCCTTGAACCCTACATCTCATCGCAATGGCGCCAACAGCGGCCTTCGGCGTTAAATGATTACTGGCGTTAGTTGGCGTTAGTTGTATGATAAGTGATTGACAGCATCCCTTTCTTGGAACCTCTGGGTCTGCGGAGGGACTTTGCTTCTCTCTGTCTTCTGTAACGTACTATGTTCCTGGGGAGTGCTCTGAGAAATTGTTTGAGATGATTCTGATATGTCCTTCTTCAAACGAGGCTTCTGGAGAGTACTTAACGTTAGGAAGCGGCTTGGATTTGCCCCTGGCATTGTTGAAGTCCATTGGCGACGCTAACCTCTCACCATCAGATGGGCCTTACGCTTGTCTGCCTACAAGGGCAATAAATATATATATTATATAGGGCAGGCGGTGAACTCATCTGATGAAAAATATAAAGAAGATTCTCAACTAAGCAAATTTGTTTTTCTAAATCTTTACAAAAATTAGTATTTGCTTGACTGAACGAAGTGAACCATCTGAAATGCACATGCACTGTGTTGCAAAGGTCGATATGTGATTGGCAACTTGCCATTGTAGGGTAAGAAGTCCGCGTTTCACTTTGCGATAGTAAATATTGCATCTCATATTATCTGCAACATAATAAAACATTTTACAATATAAATAGGGTTGTCCCGATCTGTTCCCGTTTTAAATATAAAATTATAATGCACTTGGGATTTAAGATTGGCTCCGATCTCTTTATATATCTTTACTGGTGGCAGGACGTCTTCTGAGTCCGCACGGGTAGGTATCACCGTCCTGCCTATTTCTACCGTTAAGCAGTAATGCGTTTCGGTTTGAAGAGTGCGGCAGCCGTTGTACTGTTAAAATTGAGACCTTAGATTTCATGTCTCAAGGTGGGTGTCAGCATTTACATTGTAAATGTCTATGTGCTCCAGCAACCATTTAATACCAGGTGGGCCGTGAGCTCGTCCACACAAATCTATATATATAAAAATGAATTTTGCTGTTCGTTAGTCTCGCTAAAACTCGAGAACGGCTGGAGCGATTTGGCTAATTTTGGTCTTGAATTGTTTGTGGAAGTCCAGAGAATGTTTAAAAGGTAGATAAATATGAAAGTGCTCGGAATAAAATAACTATAACAATTTTGTTTTTCCTTTGATGTGTCCTCCGTCGGACGGATTCCTTTTGTTTGTTTTAAGTTTATTTTCTACAAAAGTTTAGGTCTTTTATTTATCGATTGAGGCACTACGAAGGCTGCCGGGTCAGCTAGTAAGCAATAAATAAATAAAACTCAAATAATCCATATTTTCCTTGCTGTCATTATTGACGCATTTTCGTGTGCCAAGTGCGAACAAAAGGCATTACATTATTTTTAGGTGTATTCAACGCCCAAATCTAACTCTCTTCCGTAACATAAAGATAAACATGAATAATGGACAGCTACAATATATAGATAAAGATAGTGTTCGACATATTGATATCTATAACGTAAATGCCGCCTCCCACCTTGAGATATGAGTTCGAAGGTCTCACTTAAAACGGCTGCCCCACCCTTCAAAGCGAAACGGCTGATATAGGCAGGGAGGTGCGGGCTCATAAGGCGACTTACCACCAGAAATTACGCAAATTATAATTTTGCGGGTCTGATTTTTATTACACGATCTGGATAAAAGACCTCAGGTATTCTTCGTGCTCTGTATCGCCTCAAGGATTTCTTACCATCAGCGACTGAGACTGTGTTGGTACAAGCCTTGATCTACCCTATAATTGATTATGGTGATGTGTGTTATTTTACCTTCTTAATAAACTTAATCATCTTCTTAATAGCTGCCTTCGATTTATTTTCAATCTTCGTAAATGTGATCTTCCCATCGTGCTGAGCTGGTTATTACTGGTGGTAGGACCTCTTGTGAGTCCACACGGGTAAGTACCACCACCCTGCCTAATTCTGCGGTGAAGCAGCAATGCGTTTCGGTTTGAAGGGCGGGGCAGCCGTTGTGACTATACTGAGACCTTAGAACTATATCTCAAGGTGGGTGGCGCATTTACGTTGTACATGTCTATGGGCTCCAGTAACCACTTAACACCAGGTGTGGGCTGTGAGCTCGTCCACCCATGTAAGCAATAAAAAAAAAAGAGCTCTAACTTCTACTAATTCACCAGCACAGTAATTTACGTGCATTGACGACTCTTCCTATCTAACTCCCTATTTTCGATATCTTCACTACAGCCATGAGCGGGCCCTACGTTCTCTCCATAGCCTATTAATTCGTTGTGCCACACATAGTTCTAGTTATGTTCGTAACTCTTTCGTCGTGCAGTCTGTTCTGCTATGGAATGTGCTCCCTCTCGAGATCAGGACTATTACTAACCGATGCGCGTTCAAGTTAAGGGTCCAGCGAATATTATAGAAAAAGTTAGCAAAATCGTCAGGAACTTAATAAAAGTTGAAGCTATTTGTTATGTGAATTTATTAATATATTCCTTTGTACTGTATAAGTTATTATATGTATGTATAAATATGTGTATATTATTATTATGTTTATGTATGGGCTGGTAAAGAATGCCTTAGGCATTAAGTCCGCCAATGTAAACTATACATGAAGTGAAAGAAATAAATAAATAAAAGATGTGGTGTCGTGGGACACCAGGTAGGAACGAAGTTCCTTCGGCTAATGTAGAATCGACACAATTTGCAAAAAAAAAATCGTGCTCAATTTTATGTAGGTTTTCTTGATTTTTCTCTTAAATTTTGCTGATTAGTTTTTATTTAAGTACAAGAAAGTATTTAGGAAATTCAGTATTTTAGGAAATAATAAATTACGTAAAATAGAAAGAGAATGGATGAGAGAACGAAAAGAAAGAGGGAGAAAGTGAAAGGTATTATACACTACTCGCTTGTGTATACGACTGTCGCGCCTGCGCACGTCTCATTTAACGGTTTTATTCCACGCACTTTTTTCCACGGATTTTTTCTTACGGTTTTACTATCACATTTTTTTCAGTTCGGTCGCGCAGCAAAATCCCTATCCCCTCCAAGCATGCCGTAAGGAACTTCGTTCCAAAAATCAATAAATTTCAGGAGATATTATTATTGTCTGTATCATAAAATAGGTGTAGCTGGGTCAGTAATATCTGCTTGTATCCATTAACGAGGCTTACCGTTAAATACCATGTTCTATGGTAGAACCTCTAAGGATCTGTGACAGT